TGGAGGGTGGGGCTGGGGGAGTGAGGGGGGTCTGGAGGGGCTGTGTGTAGGGTGGGGTGAGGGGAGTAGGGGGTCTGGAGAGTCTGTGAAGGGTGGGGTTAGGGGAGTGGGGGGGGCTGGAGGGGCTTTGTAGGGTGGGGGGAGGGGAGGGGAGGGTGGAGGGGGTGTGTAGGGTGGGGATAAGGGAGTAAGGGGGTCTGGAGGGGCTGTGTAGGGTGGGGTTAGGGGAGTAGGAGGGTCTGGACAGGCTGTGTAGGGTGGAGTCAGGGGAGTGGGGTGATCTGGAGGGGCTGTGTAGGGTGGGTCTAGGGGAGGGGGGTCTGGAGGGGCTGTGTAGGGTGGGGTTAGGAGAGTCAGGGGGTGTGGAGGGGCTGTGTAGGGTGGGGTCAGGGGAGAGGGTCTGGTGGGGCTGTGTAGGGTGGGGTGAGGGGAGTGGGGGAGTCTGGAGGAGCTTCTGTAGGGAGGGGTTAGGGGGCTGAGGGGGGTCAGGAGAGGGTGTGTAAGGTAGGGTTAGAGGAGTGGGGGGATCTGGAGGGGTTGTGTGTAGGGTGGGGCTGGGGGAGTGAGGGGGTCTGGAGGGGCTGTGTGTAGGATGGGGTCAGGGGAGTGGGGGGATCTGGAGGTGCTGTGTGTAGGGTGGGGCTGGGGGAGTGAGGGGGTCTGGTGGGGCTTTGTAGGGTGGGGTGAGGGGAGTGAGGGGGTCTGGAGGGGCTGTGTAGGGTGGGGTTAGGAGAGTGGGGGGTCTGGAGGGGCTGTGTAGGGTGGGGCTGGGGGAGTAGGGAGGTCTGGAGGGGCTGTGTAGGGTGGGGTGAGGGGAGGGGGGGGTCTGGAGGGGCTGTGTAGGGTAGGGTTAGGGGAGGGGTGTGTGGAGGGGCTCTGTAGGGTGGGGTGAGGGGAGGGGGGTCTGAGGGGGCTGTTTAGGGTGGGGTTAGGGGCGTGAGGGGCTCTGGAGGGGCTGTGTGTAGGGTAGGGCTGGGGGAGCGTGGTGGGGGTGGGTTGATTCTCCCCATATCTCTGGGGCTGGGCATCGCTCACCGTCCCTGCCCTGTGTGTTGCCAGTCGACCGTGCAGTCGCACCTGGAGGGGGTGAGCTCGGGGCTGGAGCAGCTGCGCTCGGCGGCAGGGGACGTGCGGAGCGTGCGCCGGGACCTCTGCGCCGTGCGATGGCACCTGCTGGGCAGTGCCGAGGGCTTCCAGAGGCTGGTGCCGCTGCGGGCTGTGGTGACGGAGCACGCGCAGCTGGCTGCGGTCGTGCGGGCGCTGCCCCAGCTCTCCTCAGGTAAGGGGCACCGAGCCAGGCCTCAGCGTGCCCTGGTATGCGGCCCGGCTCCTGCGCGGGCACTGGGCCCGGCTGCCCTGCCGGCGTCGAGCCCCGCGGCTGGCTGAAGGAGCCAGGTCCCGGGACGCTGTCAGGGCTGGAGGGAAGGCCCAGCCGTGCTAACCGCAAGAGCAGCCAGCCCCACGAGGGCATCCCCAGCCGCGAGGCTTCCCAGGGCTCCGCAGTCACCCCACAACGGCGTAAGCCTGGCTATGCCCCGTAGCCACGTGGTCCCCAGCAGACGGACGCAGGGTCCCCATTGGCAGGGAGAGGGGCGTGGGCACAGCGGGCGCCTGCCAGGGGCACGTCCTGCTCCCACAGAGCCCCGGGCGGTCTGGGCCCTTTTGGCCAAGCACGTCCTGGGAGCGCAGCTGCCTGTCTGGCGACAGTAGGCCCCAGGCTTTCTAGCCAGGAGCTCCCTGCTCAGGGACTGCCAGTCCTGTCCTGTGCCCAGCCCACCACCTGAGCAGCTGCCCAGCGTGGTGCGGGCACAGGCAGGCAGCTCACACTGCCTGTGGGGGGCCGCAGGAGGTTTCCAGGGGGCCTGCTCAGAGGGTGTCTCTCCTCCTTGCCTGCGCTGCGCATGGGATCCCGTGTTCCCGGTGCTGGGCCCTGCTGCTGTCCGTGCAGGGCAGCCGGGCGCCGGCTCCCGTGGGGTCCAGGCTGTTGGATCTCTCCTCTCCACACAGTACACGAGCTCCTTGCCCACTCCCTCCGTCTCCTCCACGGGCAGCAGCTCCTGGAGGCCCACGCCGGGCTCATGGCGCTGGAGCGCCTGCGGGACGACATCTCCTCCCAGCTGCACGGCAGCAGCAGCCTCCCGAGGGACCAGGCCCTGGGCGTGGTGGAGTCCTTCTTCGCTGGCCTGCAGGAGCTGAGCCACGCACTGGCCCAGCAGCTGTGGCGTGTGGTGGGCGTCGGCGTGAGGCTGGTGCAGGAGGACCCGGCCCTCTTCGTCTCTGCCGTGCGGATCATTGAGAGAGAAGAGAGTGTCGACGATGCCCTGCTGCTGGGTCCCCATGCCCACCGCTTCCCCGCCCCCGGGCGCCCCAAAGCCTGGAGGCAGCGGTTCTACCAAGTCATTCAGGAGACCATCGCTGCTGCCCACTTCAAGGCCGCTCACGTGGAGCTGAAGGGCCCGGGACTGGGCCGGCACCTGGCCACGCTGCAGAGCGACATCCTGGCGGAGCTGCGTGTGGTGAAAGACCTGATGGTGCAGTGCTGCCCGCCTCACTACGACATCCTCAGCGTCTGCACCCGCATGTACCACCGGGGCCTCTCCGACCACCTGCAGGACATCCTCAGCAGGGACCTGGACAAGCAAGAGATCTTCATGCTCCTCAGCTGGGTTCTGCATGTGTACCAGAGGTCAGTGCCAGGCCCGGGGGGGAGCTCGGGGTGTGTGTGAGGAGCCCTGGGCTGGCGGAGAGTGTGCGTGTGTGTGTGTGTGCGCCCACACACCTGCGGGCATGTGGAAGTCATCCATCCGCCTGGAGCACGTGGTGTTACTCACTGGCTCCTCTTGTTCCTACCCGCAGCCCGGAAATGATGGGTCACCCAGACCTTCTCCCCGAGGTGGACGTGTCAACTCTGGCCCCCCTGGTGTCACCAGAGGTGGTGGAGCAGATGGAAAGGAAATACGTGGGGAAAGTCAAGGTGAGTGAGCTAAGGAGGATGTGCTAGCAAGCGTCCCACGCCGGGCTGGAGTTACCCATTTCGGGGAAGGGGTGGCGAGGGCCCAGCAAAACCTGAGCGTCAAGCCATGACAGTGTCTCTCTCCACCCCCCACCCCACACACACACACACAGCGCTGCGTGCTCTGCTGGGCCCCTCCTCCCCCGTTCATTCGCCCTCTGCCCCGTGCCAAGCTCCCTGCAGTGGCGGGGCCAGGAAGAGCCCATTCCGCTGCCCCCAGGTTCAGCTGTGTTAATATCAGTCTTAGACAGCGTTACACAAGGCTCGGGGGCTGGCACTCAGAGACCTCGGCCAGCTTAGTCCCATGGCCAACTCAGCAGTAACAACCGTTGTAACCCTTGGTTAAAGGTACAGACGAGAAGGAAAGGTGGGAAGATGGGAATAACTGTCCTTCCGGGGCAAAGAGCAGAAGCTAGTAGGGATGGGCTGGAGCTATTGCTGCTGCTGGTAAAGTCTGATCCTGTTTGCGAGAAGACAAAGCAAGACACACACAAGGGGAGAGGACAGAACAGCGAAGAGAGAAAATGCAGCATCTGTCTCTGGTGCCGATTCTCACTGGTAGCCTGGCTGCTGCAGAAACACGGGCCCAGCCCATGGGCCGATCAGCCGCTCCAAGAGCTGGCAAGCTTGTACCAGTGTCGGGCTGTGCAGGGCTTTGCTTTTACCTGCCTCGCTGGTCCCCGGCTAACAGCAGTGTTGCAAACTATACCGTGTCGGCCGGCTAAGCCAGACTTATTGGACAGAAGGGAAAAGGAGAGCGGTAGGGAAGAGGAAAGACAAGAGGGAAGGAAAAGGACACCTGGAGGAGGGGGGGTGACAAAGTCTCACCTCCCAGCTGGTGTTGGGGATTGATCTGGGTCCCTCCCTCTGGCCCGGTCAGGTCGGGACCTCTGGCACAATGACGTCACCATGAATCCCGGGGGCCCAGGAGGCAGCAGGGGTGGCAGCCATGATGGTGAAGCCCACTCCCTCCATTTCTTTCTGTTGCCAGCTTCCCCCCAGCGTCTTTCGGAGGCCCCCAAGGGAGCAGTGGATGGAACAGCCCAGCCCCTCATTATTCTGTCCACTAATTAGGCTTCGTTTCCGACAAGCCCATTTTGGTTAATTGATTACCCAGATCTCTTGTTTACCAGGCCTGAGCACGACACGGGCCTTGAGTTCTCTGAGCCGGGTGCTTGGGTTGGGCGGCGTCAGGCTCCGGCTCGCTTTCACGCCGTTCCCCACCACCCCGGGTTCTTGTGACCCTTCAGGAGGGTTCTGCCAGCTCCCAGCTAAGGCAAACGTGGAGTTTCCCCAGCAGCTCTCGCTGCTGAGAGTTTTCCTCCTTAGTCTCCACCGTGGCCTCTTCCCCGGCTGCCCCCCGTGGGCACAGCCCCTCTGTCACTGCAGCCGTGCCCTGCTCCGGAACTGCTTCTGTGTCCTGCGTGCCCTGCCAGCCCACGGCCTCACTCCCCAGGCTGGAGCGATTGAGGGGGAACAGAGACAAATGCTGCTGCCCCCTGAGCCGCGCCAGCTAACGAACATGCCCCTGACCTTGCCTGCCCTGTGCCCGCTCCCTCTGCACCACGTCAGCGGGATGCCTTCCTTTCCCAGCACATGGTGGTGCTGCCTGGAGAGACAGACCTATCCACCAGCCTGAGCTGTCCTCTCATCTCTCCTGCTGTGCCCCCATCCCCTGGCTTCCCCCGTGGGCACAGGCCCCTGTGGTGGGAGATACCCTGGTGTTCCACTAGCGGGCGCTAGGGCACGCAGGGAGACACATTGGCGAGCTCCGCCGGGTGTGGCACCGGGAGGTTCGTGCCCTTCTGCTTTGAATCCAGCCGGGTGCGCCACGGGCACTGGCACCCAGACAGCGCTGGCTGTGAGGAGAGGCCTGTGCCAGCCGCCAGCCGTCGTCTCTGCGCTCAGGCTGCTCCATGATTCCCCTAGGATGGCCCGGCCACCCTAGCTAGGGGTGCCAAGGCTGGGATCCCCTGGGCTGCCCTGCGCTGGCGCTCCAGGCCTGGCTCACCGCAGCCCTGCGCACCGCTCCCTAGAACCGGGCAGGGGTCCAATAGCGTCGAGTGAACGGGGCGGGGAGCCGGGTCTTGGCCCCAGGCATGGGGGCTCTGGGGAGGCAGTGCCGGGAGCGTAGCTGGACGTGGATCCCGCCTGGAGCTTTTCCTCTAGCTCTGCAAACCAAGGCTTATAGGAAAGCAGATCAATTTGGGGGAGAGGGGGATGGGCCATATCTCAGGAGCCCCGAGAGCAAATAATCCCAAATGTTCACCCTGCCCCTGAGGGGGCAGCCCAGTCTGCAGCCCCATCTCACTGCGCACGTGTGTTTGTAGAGCGGCTCGGCGTTAAACATAAGCCCCGTTGCAGTCTCAGCAGTAGGGCGGCTGTGGCCACCTCAGGGCGTTCAGAGCTCCTGCTGCAGAGCAGGGTCCCGGCCTCCCGTCTCACCTCTTCGTCCTCCCATCGGGCAGGCCAGCGTGACTGAGTGGATGCGGCGCACGCTGGAGGTGGAGTTCAAGGAGTGGTTCCGAGAGGAGGAACCAGAAATGGATCATCTGGGCTTCTTCCAGTCTGCCCTGCCCATCATCGTCATGCAGGTGGGCAGGGGGCTGGGAGTGCCCTGTGAGGGGGTCGGGCAGGGCATTGGGGCTGGGAATGCCTTGTGAGGGGATGGGCGGGGCAGGGCAGGGGAGGTGGGAGTGCCCTGTGAGGGGGTCAGGCAGGGCATTGGGGCTGGGAATGCCCTGTGAGGGGACGGGTGGGGCAGGGCATTGGGGCTGGGAATGCCCTGTGAGGGGACGGGCGGGGCAGGGCATTGGGGCTGGGAGTGCCCTGTGAGGGGGTCGGGCAGGGCATTGAGGCTGGGAATGCCCTGTGAGGCCAGGCAGGGCGGGGCAGGGGGCTGGGAATGCCCTGTGAGGCCAGGCAGGACAGGGCATTGGGGCTGGGAATGCCCTGTGAGGGGACGGGCGGGGCAGGGCATTGGGGCTGGGAGTGCCCTGTGAGGCCAGGCAGGGCGGGGCAGGGGCCTGGCAGTGCCCTGTGAGGGGGCAGAGGAGGGCAAGGGGCCTGGCAGTGCCCTGTGAGGAGCTGGGCAGGGCACAGGGTGCTGCCCCCAGCCGTGGTTCAATACCCGAGCACTCTCGGCACGTCGGGCTTTCCGCCTGCAGAGCTGTTCTGTGCCTCGGGCCCGTATCGCTAGGGGTCACCTGGAACCCTGGGGCACCTGCTCCTCCGTCCATGCTCGTGCCCTAGACCTTGCACTGGGCTGGCCCGGTTCTGAGCTCCCCGGAGGACCTGCCTTTCCCCCCTCGGGAGGTGACTCTGCCCGGAGGGTCAGTCCTGTCGCTCCTGTACTGATTGTGCTGGGGGGTCTCCCCTGCGGTAGCTGGGGTGTGCTGGGCTAGGGACGTTGCCCTCATGGCTTCTCAGATCCCTGGAGCACCAACCTGCCCTGCCCTGCCTGGCTCTGGGACAGCACAGGAGCGAGGCCAGCCAGCCCAGAGCTGGGGGCCGAGGCGTCCAGCCTCACTGAGCAAGCAGTGCCGGAGCCCCGGCTGGGGACGTGGGGGGAGCCTACGGACAGGGCAGTGACCCCGTGTCCTGCTCTCCCTGCCCAGATGCTGGATGAGAACATCCGGGTGGCCTCCCTGGTCACGGCCTCTCTGCAGCAGAAGGTTTACGCTATGGCCATGGACGAGCTGGAGGCCTTTCTGATCAGGTCAGGGGTGTCCATGGGGTGCCCCCCCCCCGCTTCCTGAGGCCGGCCTTCCAGGGCAGGATGGCAAAGGCTGGCGGAATCCCGTGCCGCCCATCTCGGGGGAGGGGGGGCAGGCCAGGGTACTGCCGTGTGTTGGAGCGCTGGGCCGTTCCAGGGTCGGGCACCCAGGGGCCGGGACCCCCTTTGGATCCTGTCCTCACTGAGCACTGAGCACTCCTTTCCTGGGTACTCAGCCCACGTCCCCCCAACCTCGCGCCTGGCTCCTATGGACCCTCCTCCTGGGTACCCCTCTGCAGCCCCTCGCCCTCCATGGGCCTTACAGCCCTGGGGGTAGGACCCCACCCCCCAGCTGTCTGCTCAGGCGCTGCTCTCGTTGGCCTCCTCCTGCAGGCGCTATGTGGGGCACAGCAGGGCAGCCAGGCTGCTGCGTGGGAAGGGGTCAGGGGAGCCCTAGGTGGGCCCCACATGGCGTGCCCTGCCCCCCGAATGGGTGGGTGGGGCAGGGTGAGGCTGGGAATGAGGAAACGTGACCCTCGTAGTAGCGGGATACATCCCCCCCGCCAGCTCCCTGGGCTGCATCCTGCAGGGAGGCAGTTACCTGGAGACTGCTCAGCAGCGCTTGCTCCAGCTGATTCAGGATCGGGGCCCTGTGCTCCAGCCTGCCCAGCACCCGCCCCCCTGCACTGGGACGCTCCGCGCCAGGAGCTTCCAGACATCAGCACCACGGAGGCTGGAACGCCCAGGCTGAGCGCGGGCCAAGCCGTGCAATGCCCGACGGGCGCCAGGCTGATCTGCCCAGCCGCTGGGCTCCGTTTCACAGCCTCGCCCACCCAGGGAAGCCCGGGCCTTCCAGCGGCTGCTGCCAGGGGCAGAAGACTCCCATGGAGAGAGTCCCCGGTGCCCTCCAGCTCCAGGGCTGGTCCCCTCTCTGCCAACCCTCACGGTCCCATGTGCTGCATCCCAGGCTGCGAGAGGCCCTGGGGGACTGCGGGAAGGAGCACCAGAAGGACCGAGCCATGCCCAAGCATTACATCTCCTACCTGCTGGCCCTGCTCAACAACAACATGGCGCTGAGGTAACCTGGCAGGGCACTGGCAGCTCTTTCCCTACGACCCACTGCTTCCCCAGAGCACACGGCCCCCACACTGGGCACAGATCCCCCTCACTGCTACCCCAGAGCCCCCGCCCCCAAGGACACGAGACCCACTGACCCCCAAAGCCCCTGCACTCCCGTATTGGCTCTGACCCCTTCCCCAGAGCCCACGTCCCCACCATTAAGTCAGATTCCCGGCCCTCCACTCCCTGTTCCCCAGAGCTCCTCCCTCGCTTCCCCAGAGCCCATGCTCCCCTTCCCCCAGGCCGTCTGCCCCAGCTGTCCATCCCTCAGCTCCTTCTTTCTCCTTCCAGCTCGTCCATCTCCACTCTGCACCCCGGCAGTGCATCTCTTGCCAAGCCCGCTGAAATCCCCTCCTCCCTGAAGACTGCGCTGGACAGGACCCAGAAGAAGGCCTGCCGGCTGCTGCTGGAGGAGCTGCTGCTGGATTTGCAGGTACACATGTCCAAGAGGGGCTGCAGGGCTCCTGGAGCCGGGAATAGCGTAGGGCCAAGAACTGATTCCCTGCAGGACCCCCCTGGAGACCCCCCTGCTAGACAACGATTCCCTGGTTACAGCTCCATTTGGAGTTAGCCAGTTTTCAACCCGTTTAATGTGGGCCCCGTTAATGTTATATCATTCTAGTTTATTCATCAAAACGTTATGCAGTACCGCGTCAAACACCTCACAAAAGTCCAAGTATATTCCGTCACCGCCATTACCTTCGTCGACCAAATGTGTAACCACATCAGCAAAAGAGCTCAAGTTAGTTTTGATAGGATCTATTTTCCATAAGCCCATTCATGACATTACCCTCCTTTCATTCTCTATTGAGTCCTGTATCAGCTGCTCTATTATCTTGCCTAGGAATTGATGGCAGACTATAGCAACCCAGGTCAGCCCCTTTACCCTTTTTAAAATAGGGCCCAACTATAGCTTTCTTCCAGTCTTCTGGAACGTTCCCACGGCTCCAAACTTACAGAAAATCAACACTCATGTGCTGCCCCACAGACCCGGCTAGGCTACGCTGTGGGGAGAGGCAGTCAACCAAGACAAAAGGGATCCTTTTACATTTGTAGGGCTTTATAAGGGAAAACTCCCATCTTGTACCAGGAGCATAAATAATATAGACTATTGCAAAGACTCACTACTTCTACTACACCACAGGTTACCCACTCATTAACCTCCGTGAGCTCCTACGCGCCGTGCCGCTAGTACCAAATGCATTGTTGTCAACAAGAACAAAAGCGATTTCTTACCAATACCCTGTGTCACTTCAGAGAAGAATCAACTTTTTTTCCTCTCCTTGGCTGTAAGTCCAGCTCCGCTCTTGCTGTCCTGTTCTTTGGTCTCTTCGGCTTGAAGTGCTCTGGAGAGTCGATGTTCCTGTGGCAGGACCTCTTTCCACTGAGTTTATCCACAGGCGGGGGCTCTTCACCTCGCCGGCCCTCCCTTGTCCATTAGACCCCTTTGAACTGTATCCATCAATAGAAGTTCAAACAGTCCCTCTCTCCGTTCATGTCCTTTAGGGCCCTTGTGGGGGGGCTTCTCGTTTACTGCTTCCAGGATCGGTTTGCCTGCAGCACAGCTTCCACCACTTCCCTTTTCTTTCGTTTTCCCTTGATACTCTCTCTCCAGTGTGGCCGTCGATTTGAGTTCCCTCGACGGCCCTGCTCTAATAGGGCTGCTCACGTACCCAGCTCCATTCCTTTCTGCTTCTTCCGACCTGAAACCTTTCCTCTTTTCCTTCTTTCCTCCTTCTCATGTCCCAGTTCCCTGCGTTTGTTCTCCTGGTATTTTATCACTTCCCCTCCTACCCAGGTTCCGGTTCACCCGCTAGCTCAGCATCTCAAGTTGTCTCCTTCTCGAACAGCTTTTTCCAGCTGACCCTTTGGGTGGATTCCAAGCCCCCTCCCCAGCGCGAGCTGCCCTCGCCGTGGCAGTCTCTTTCCCCAGGGCAGCGTTCTGTCCTGCTGCATCGCAGCTGCTAGTGCAGGGATGAGGGTTACTACAGGCTCCTCGGCCAGCTCTTTAAAACTCTTGGATGCAAGTTATCTGGACTTGCTGTTTAACATCCCACTGAGATACTAGTGGAACGGGAGCGAGCCGATCTGCATGGGCTTGGAGCCTCCGCCTGACACCTTGTGGGTGCTGTGTATGTTTCAGCCCCTGTATGTGCAGCTGCCGTCCCGCAAGTGGCTGTCCGGGGCCCAGCTGGTGAACAGCATGTGCGAGGTGATCGACAAGTACATGAGAGACTTCTCCCACGTCAGGAACCCCGTCTTCACGGTACGGTGCTCCAGAGGCGCCGGGCGCCTCTCCTTGTAGAGCCGTTGGTGTGGCTGGCTCCCCTTGGGGGGGTGCATGCTGTGCCCTGGGAGGGGCGTGGTGCTGAGCATGCCCCCTGCACCCTGGGGAGCTCCAGGAGGCATGGTGCCTCCCCCTGGGATTGTGCCCTCTGCATTGGCCCTGTGCCCGTTGGTGGGGTGGGAGCAGGGCCAGTGGGACCCAGGGAGGCTGATGGGGGGTCAGAGCAGTTGGTTTTCAGACTGGAGCTGCCCCTCTGCGGGGGCCGGGTGAGGTAGAACATTCCCGCGTCCTGGCTACTTTCCAAGGCGCAGGTGACAGTGGAGGCAGCAGCACTCCGCAGGCAGGAGCAGCAGTGGCACAAGGGGTGGCCCCAGAGGGATGGGCTGGAGAGCAAGCCAGCCCCGCCCCCCCACCCTCAGACCCTGCCCCACGGGGCCCAGCCACTGGCGTGGGTAATGGAGTCAGCTGGCACAGCCCGGCCACGGGCAAGGGAGCAGGGCTGGAGAGTGAGAGCAAGGAGGCTGGGGGGAGCAGGGCGGGGCTGGAGAGAGGAGGGGAGACAGCCGGGGGGAGAGGGGGCAGAGCACTGGAATAACCTGCCCCAGCTGCTCCTGCCTGGCCCCAGCAGTGCCCGGCTGCCGGAGGGCTCTCTCCCCACGCCCCACAAATGCAGGCACGGATGCTGTCTGTAACCTTCAGGAGGCCGGCTGGGCTCCTGGCCTGTCCCGGCTGATGGGAAGATGGGGCTGGGGGGGGCCATATCTGTTATTGGACTAGCTTCTGGAAGTTGAGCGAGACGAGCTCTCCAGCTCCCCAGAGCTCTTCGTCGGGTCTTCAGCTTTGGGAGACAGCTCGGTTCACTGCCAGGAGACACCCCCGGCGCTCAGCCGCCCGTTCCTGTCCCGAATCGCACCCCTGTGCTGCCGGCGCCACCCCCGGGGGTGCCCTACGCGCTCCTTCCCCCTCCTGCTGGGATCACCCTGCAGATTCTTCCCTCCCCCGTAGGCCACCCAGCCAAGCTGCCGTAGACACGTAGCCGGGCCCGCCCGCCCTCGTCACGCTCCCTCCTGCGGAGATGCCCAGGTGGCTGCGGTGCTGCCGAGCGGTGCCAGGGGCTGCCGTGGCTCCCTGCCCTGTGCTGCCACGTTGCCCGGCAGGAATCCCACTCAGTCCACGTTATTCCGCTGTTCGGCTGCTGCTGGCTACGGCTGCCCCAGGTCCCCCCTCTCCCCTTTGTGTCTCACTGTCTCCTGCCGGGGTCTAGTTCCTGCTGGCCGAGAGCGAGCACCTGGTCATGACTCACTACGTGCGGGCGCTCATGGAGAAGAAGATGGTGTGCCGGAGCGCGGAGGAGCGGAGCCAGCTCGCCACCCGGCTGCTCCAGGACGCCGCCCAGCTGCGGGAGCTTTTCCACAACCTGGTGAGGGAAGCTGCACTCCCAGAGACGCGAGGTCAGCCCTGTGGGTCGGTACCGCCGGTGGGCGGTCATGGCGGCCGGCTGAGGTGGAGGCAGACGGAAACGTTTCAGCCACACAGGGGGCGAGGGAGAGGGAATTGTCTGCTGCCGTCCCCAATGGCAATTCATAGTCGTTCACGCTGGCAATGGGTGATCATGGGGCCAGGGAAAGCATGTGAGAACACCTCTCGCCTGGTGGATCTAGGTGGGCAAACTACGGGCCGCAGGCTGAATCCGGCCCACCAGCCATTTTAATCCGGCCCTTGAGCTTCTGCTGGGGAGCGGGGTCTGGGGCTTGTCCCGCTCCGGCGCTCCAGCCGGGGAGCAGGGTTGGCTCCCGGAAGCAACGACATGGCCTCCCTCTGGCTCCTACGAGCTGCCCCCGCCCCAAGCGCCGCCCCCGCATCTCCCATTGGCCAGGAATCGTGGCCAATGGGAGCTGCAGGGGCGGTGCCTATGGACGGGGCAGCGTGCAAAGCCGCCTGGCCGCGCCTCCACGTAGGAGCCGGAGAAGGGACATGCTGCTGCTTCCAGGAGCCACTTGAGGTAAGTGCCACCCGGAGCCTGCACCCCTGAGCCTCCCTCCCGCCCCAACCCCCTGACCCAGCCCTGATCCCCTTGCCACCCTCCAAACCCCTCAGTCCCAGCCCGGAGCACCCTCCTGCACCCCAAACCCCTCATCCTCAGCTGCACCCCCAGCCGGCGCCCTCACCCCCTCCCGCACCCCAACCCCAATTTCGTGAGCGTTCATGGCCCCCCCATACAATTTCTATTCCCAGATGTGGCCCTCGGGTCAAAAACTTTGCCCAGCCCTGATCTAGGATGTGGGAGCCCCAAGTCCCTGCTCCATTGGCTACTGAAATGTACAAAGTAACACAGCTGCAGCAGGAGAGCTTGAGGCAGCCCTGCTCCAGAATATCCCATAGCCCCCTGGATAGGGCACTCCTGCAACCTGGCAGACCCCAGTTCAAACCCCTCCTGGGGGAACTGAAACTGGCTCTCCCATGTGCTAGGGGAGCATGCTACCCACCGGGCCTAAGCTGATACGGCCGCCTCTGGCCGCCGCCTCCTCCGGCTGTTTTGTGACGCGCGTCCTGCTTTCCTTTGCCTTTTATCAAAATGCCCGAAATCGAAACCAGTTTTTCGTGGCGGGTTGAAACGTTGCCTTTCGACATGCCTGGAACCTTTCCATCGGTTCGGTTCGGTCGAAACTCTTCGGTGACCGTGACACAGAACCTGCGTTGTTCGGCTGCGAACCGTTTTGCCCAGCTCAGGTTAGGCGGTGCCCCTCTCAATGCTAGGCCGAGCCAAGCGCTGGCTGCCGGAGTTTGGATCGCCCCTCTCTTAGGCCTGGGGGGGGTCAGGCGTGGGCACGTCAGCCCAGAGGGTGCTGGAGGATTCTCTGCACCTTGAGGTCTTTAAACCACGAGCTGAGGACTTCAGTAGCTCAGACATAGGTCAGGGATTTGTTACAGGAGCGGGTGGGTGAGGTTCTGTGGCCTGCGTTGTGCAGGGGGTCAGACTAGATGATCAGAATGGTCCCTTCTGACCTTAAAGTCTCTGAGTCTATGACAGACACTGAGCTGCACCTGTGGGCGTTGGGCCTGGCTGCTGAGCGTGTCTGGTGAGTTCTCTCCGGCCGGTGCTGCGGGCCAGCCTGCCGGCACAATGCTGCTCTACGGCTCCCTGGGGCGGCGCTGTGTGTCTGGCCTGCTCCTGACGCTCCCTGTGCTGGCTGGTTCCTTCCTGCAGGGCCTGGCCGAGAGCGAGCAGACCCTCGAGGTGATATTCGCCCTCCAGGAGCTCATCCGCCTCCAGGACCCGGCCTTGCTCAGCCTGGAGGTCCTGGGATTTATGACGAAATACCCCGACATCAGGTAGCAAACCCAGCGCGGCGGGAAAGGCCTGTTACACGGGGGGCCATGGGGAGGTCCTGCCCTGCCAGTAGGGGGAGCTGCCTTCACACAGGCTGTCTCCCGTGTAAGCCTGAACCCGCACCCCATGGCATGCATCTGGAGCACCTCTCCAGAGGTATTCGCAATCCTGTTCATCCCCGATAGCCACGGGGCAGAGCTCTTAGGCACTGCAAGGGACGGGCCGGCTGGCGCTGGCCGCTCCACCCAGGCTCGCCTGCGGGCAGCACAGAGGAGAGAGTCACCGAATCGGAGCGGCACAGACTGGCAGAGAGCAGCCCCTGGCTCCTGGGGAGATTGTTTCCCCGCCGCTGAGCCCAGCCCAGAGCCAGGTGCCCGTTGTGCGAGGATTTTCACAAGAGTTTGGTTTTATTTCCAAATGATGAACTTTTGGGCTCCCCACCCCCTTTTGTTCCTTTTGGCCACGGAGCGAGATAAAGCAATGACTGGTGGCCGGGGGTGGGGGGCGGTGGATCCCACCCTCTCTTTCCTTGTGCTACGCTCTGACTCTTCCAGCGGCAAGGGCGGTTTGAAAACTCCCAGCACGGCCAAACAAAAACTGGAGGGAAAAAAAGAAAAGAAAAGACGTTTCCCTGAAGAGCCCCCACTCCTTCTTCTTTCATTCGCTTGTGCTCAGGGGCCAAAGGGCTGAAAGGAGAGAAGTGAAATGGCCAACATTCGATATTCCAAATCAGCCCAAACGAGAACATTTGGAAGAAAGAAAAAAGGGTTTTTTGCTTTTGAACAAAGTCTATTATTTAGCGACACATGCTCGAGCTTCGGTTTGTGGCTTTGCTGGCGGGGCGCATCTCAGCCTGCCCCAGCACACCAGACGCAGAAGGAGGGATGCAGCCACATGACTAGGGCCTGACCAATTCATGGTCCATTTTGGTAAATTTCACGGTCAGCCTTTCAAAACGCTTGAATTTCAGGGTTTGAGATATTGACATTGTAAATTACACAGTGTTCGTAACCATGGGGGGCCCGACCCAGAAGAGGGTCATGTGGGGGGTTGCAAGGCTAGAGGGGCGGGGGGGTTGCAGTATTGCCACCTTTATTTCTGTGCTGCCTTCAGAATGGGTGGCTGGAGAGCGGCGGCTGCTGGCCAGGAACCCAGCTCTGAAGGCAGCACCGTTGCCAGCAGCAGCGGAGAAGTCAGGATGGCGATACCATCCCATGCCATCCTTACTTCTGTGCTGCTGCTGGCAAAAACAACAAGGAGTCTGGTGGCACCTTAAAGACTAACAGATTTATTTGGGCATAAGCTTTCGTGGGTAAAAACCTCACTTCTTCAGATGCACAGAGTGACAGTTACAGATGCAGGCATTATATACTGACACATGGAGAGCAGGGAGTTACTTCGCAAGTGGAGAACCAGTGTTGACAGGGCCAATTCAATCAGGGTGGATGTAGTCCACTCCCAATAATAGATGAGGAGGTGTCAATTCCAGGAGAGGAAAAGCTGCTTCTGTAATGAGCCAGCCACTCCCAGTCCCTATTCAAGCCCAGATTAATGGTGTTGAATTTGCAAATGAATTTTAGTTCTGCTGTTTCTCTTTGAAGTCTGTTTCTGAAGTTTTTTTGTTCAATGATAGTGACTTTTAAATCTGTAATAGAATGACTAGGGAGATTGAAGTGTTACCATTCCTGATGTCCGATTTGTGTCCATTTATTCTTTTGCGGAGGGACTGTCCGGTTTGGCCAATGTACATGGCAGAGGGGCATTGCTGGCACATGATGGCATATATAACATTAGTGGATGTGCAGGTGAATGAGCCCTTGATGGTGTGGCTGATGTGGTTGGGTCCTCTGATGGTGTCGCCAGAGTAGATATGGTGACAGAGTAGGCAACGAGGTTTGCTACAGGGATTGGTTCCTGGGTTGGTGTTTCTGTGGTGTGGTGTGTAGTTGCTGCTGGCAGACGCTCTGGCTTCTGGGCTGGGTGCCTGGCCAGCAGCCACTGCTCTCCTGCTGCCCAGCTCTGAAGGCAGCACCGAAGTAAGGGTGGCAATACCACGCCCCCCCCACAATCAGGGCCAGATTTACACCTTATGCGCCCCCAGGGATAGCATCTTCAGCGCCCCCCCCCCCCCCCACACACACACTGACCTTCGTGTTTTCCACAAAAACTGAAACTTTTAACCCACTTTTAACTTTTAGGCACCCCTAGAACGCTGGTGCCCCTAGGCATGTACCTGCTGTGCCTTACTGGAAATCCGCCCTTGCCTACAGTAGCCAGATTTCACGAGGGAGACCAGATTTCATGATCCGTGACATGTTTTTCACGGCCATGAATTTTGTAGGTCCCTGCACAGGACACCTGGAGGAAAGAGACGATGCTGTGGGGTTCTCCCCTCAGTGCAGTACCCGTCACTCCAGGCTCTGCAGCGTGCTGTCAGCCACTTCAGGGGGACCTCAGAGGTGTGTGGGCTTGAGAGGAGGTCCCGCGTGTGAGCAGCGGGGGTGAGCCCCCAGGGGCGAGGAGGTAGCAGCAGGTAAGGGGTTCGGCATCTCAGTCTCTGCTTTCCTGTTCCCCACAGCGATGAGCACGTCTCCATCCTGCTGGATCTGCGGGGCGACGTCTCCAAGGAGGTCCGGAACGTGGTGCTGGAAATGATGGCGCAGAATCCACAGTCCCTGCCCGAAAACTACCAGCCCATCTTCAGCAACATCCTGGTCCCGGCTCCGGAGCTTCCCTTCTGCCTTCGCAAGAGCAAGTGTGCCTGAGACACGCACGCCGCAGCCTGGCTGTCTGCAGCCTGCCCTGGCCAGCGGTGTCTCCGAACGACGGACCTCTGAGAGGCCCTGGGTGGGGCTGGGCAGAGACGCTGGGTCCCTGCTGTGTGTGAGGGGCTGTCTGGGCTCCAGAGACGGGGCAGGGAAAGCCTGGGCATCAGCCCTGCTGTGCAGGGAGGAGAGGGGAGGCTTCCACACCCATTCCCCAGTGGCCGACACCTTGGCACCTGCTTTGCTGGCGCCAGGGACCCTCAGCCCACTGATCCCCCTGGCCACGTAACCCTGGATGGGCTGAACCCAGCTGTAGGTCTGGCCCTAAACTGCTAAACCACCAGATTCAGCTCTGCCCATTCGGGTGTCCAGGCCTCTGCTCCGTGCTGCTTCCTAACTGCCCCCTCTGCTCAGCCCTCCCAGGCTATGTGCAGCCCAGAGCCTGTGGAGGGGATGGGCCGACCAAGGCAGGCAAGCGTGGCAGCATCACAGAGCTGGGGGAGCAGAAAGGGAATTTCCCCAGGATTCCTTCCCCAGGTCCAGCCACAACCGCCCCCTCCCATGCACCTGAGCGTGCCCAGGGCAGTCCGTTACCAAGCTGAGAGCAGGGCCTGACGGGTTCTAACTGGGCTGGGCAGAATTCAGTTACTGGTTGATAATTTTGACCGATAACAGTGATGTTTAAGCATTTTTTTATTTTGATCTATTTAAATGTTCACTGCTGCAGAAAATGAGGGGGAGTCAGACAATGGAGGGATCAGACAATGGAGGGGTCAGACAATAATTATTTACTGACAATGGACGTTGAGATTCCACAAGTTAAAGCTTTAATGCCGTTATAAGACAAACCATCAACATCCCATTCAGAATATACCCAGTAAAGACCCTTCGATCAAACTCAAAGAAGAACTTCAGGAGCGTTGTTCTTCCTTTGCCGATCGGTGCATTTCTGTGATTATCAAGGGAAATATTTTTCATTGGGGCGGGGGGCAGTGAAATCAACGTGTACTGACATTTACCAATTCAAATCGATTCCTTCCCGGCCTAGTTATAACACAGACAAATCCAAACTGTCTTGCAACTAAGATTGCCAACTTTGTAATATTTAAATCAGACACTCCAGCTGGAGTGCCGGAACCACCCCTGCCCTGCCTGTTCCCTGAGGCCTCGCCCCTGACCCACCTCTTTTCCCCAAGGTCCCACCCCCTTCACTTCTCTTCCCCCGTCGCTCACTGCTATTCCCCTGCCCGGGATCATGGGAATTGCAGTAATCAGAGCCCAGTGCAGAGGTTGGATGATCCATCCTGAACTAGGCAGTGTCCAGAATGTCGTTCTGCTACTCGCCACAGTCAGGGCAGGTGTCTCAGCAATGCGGCAGGGCAGGGGAAGGGAAAGAGCCCCACTACATGGAGTAAAAGAAGGAAGTTCTCCCCGATGGACGTGTTGGGTTTTCGTAGGGCGCTGAAATACCCTTGCCAGGAGCATAGGCGCCGACTCCGGGGGTGCTCCGGGGCTGGAGCACCCATGGGGAAAAATTAGTGGGTGCTCTGCACCCACCGGCAGCCAAGCTCCCCTTCCCCCTGGCCCCACCTCCTCCTCTGCCTCCTCCCCTGAGCACGCCACCTCCCCGCTCCTCCGCCTACCTCCCAGCTGTTTGGCGGCGTAGCAAGCTCCGGGAGGGGGGGGGGAGGAGCGGGAACATGGCCTGCTCAGGGGAGGAGGTGGGGCCGGGGCGGGGATGTGGGGAAGGAGTCAGAATAGGGCAGGGAGGGGGCAGAGTGGGGCAGGGACTTTGGGGCAGGGGTTGGAATGGGGCGGGGCAGGGGTAGAGGGGGGGTCGAGCACTCACCGGGGTGAGTAGAAGTTGGCGCCTATGGCCAGGAGGCAGGTTTTTAAACACGAGTGATGCTCGCTGGACTCCTACAGGTTTGTCGACATGTTAACTTTCTTGTGGGCCAGCTTGAGATGCTTTGCATTAAAATGCCGGGTAGCCAGGAACAACCGAAAGGCTTTGTTGCAAATCCCGCAGCGTGTTAAGGTCTGTTCTCAAACCCACGCTGAGCTCACCTGTAGCAAAGCAGCGAGCGGTGCTGCTGCGTGGGCGCCTCTATTGCTCTCGGGGCCTCCTCGCTGGATGTTGCCTCGCCACTGACATGGGCGCGCGCAGCTCCTGAGGAGTTCCCGTCCCCGCGTCCCTGACTCCTGATTACTCCCCAGCCTCGTGCTGCGCCCGTGGCGAGATGCTGAGTTTTATAGCCCTCGGGGGAGAGCAGGTCTCCTGGGTCTGTAAGAGCGTAGCTGGCCCCTTAAATGAACTGGGGGCTCAGCTCTCCTGTTCCCGTCCAGCGGCTCCCGGCTGAGCCAGGTGAGAGGCTGGGGCAGCACCTGGGGCGTAGCTGAAGTCCGGCAGGAGCCAGCGGGGAGAAGGGCAGGAGTGGAGAGCTGCCAGAGGCAGAAGGCAGTAAGCTGAAGCCAGGAGAGCAGAGCGGGGTTTGCAGGCTGGCTGGCATCCCCAAGCCAGAGAAGGCTGGCTCTACGCCGGGCAGCAGGCGCCAAGGGCCAGGGCTGAAGGAAGGGGAGCAGCAGAGGGCCTTACCCACTGATGTCTCCTTGCCACAGAGCTAGGCTCTGAGAGACAGTGGGAGAGCCGGGGGCCTGAGGACAGCTCCCCTGGCAAGGATACTCCCAACAGCGCGGCTGTCACAGTGCCTGGCCTGGGTCACAGGTGAGAGGGCCAATCTCAGGTCAGACTGTCGAGAAACTGGGCAGACGCCCTCCCGGGGGGCATGGTCTATAATTAGATGTAACCAAACGTGCGCTCCCGGATCGCTATACTAGCTTACCATGAAGCCACAGCCAGTTCCCAGAGACACTCCAGCCTATCTCAGCACCCAGACAGACTGGACGTCTGCGATGAAAGCCCCAAATCCCCACCCCTTAGGTTCGTCCAGCCCCAGGGAGCCAGTCACTTACCCCACGTCAATGGATGCTCAGAGTCTCACACCAAAGACAACGCTGACAGCCAATTTCTTTGGGGAACTAGCTAGAGATTTATTAGCTAAGAAAAAGAAAGGAAAGTTAGTCAAAGGTTAAAGCAGGTAAAATACGTTACCAGTGAGTTCAAGTTTGTAAGTCCAAAATGATAGCAGGGGTGGGAAATCTGCTAGTTTTCTATACGTCTCCCTGGGTGGCCCAAAGAGTTTTGGGGGATCTCAGTCCTTTTGTTCAAAATCTCCCCTGTCAGAATTCACCAGTCCAGAGATGGGTTAGGAGAGAGGGGCCTTTGTTCTCCCTTTTTATACCTTGACCCTTTTGGCTGGAAAAATCTTGGTTGTGTCATGGGCTCAGACAGTTCCAGGGTGTCTGTGCTTTGCCCTCAGGCCTTCATATGAATTGCAAATTTTTGCTTGCGCCTTCTGCATACATCCCATTTGAGGTGTCTCCGGGAGTGACACGCAGAGGCTTCTGTTCACAGTTCCTTTGTTATTCCTGAAGAGAGAACCTATGGGCATGTCTCAGACTCACAACATGTTTGAGCTCCAGACAAATAGCACCATTTAATAACTCCACCCACAATGTCAATACACATGTTATAACAAGATACTAATACTCAGCAGATTATAACTTTTCCAGTGATGCTTCACAAGGCATACTTTGTACAAGAAGTATCACAATTTTCTCAAAGTGGTGACCATATTAGTGTAGATGGTCAGTGCACCTGAGAAAAGATGGACGAGGTCGGATAAGGAGCTTGGCTGTGATGGAGGACGCTGGGGTATGGTGAGAACAAGAACTATAGGCATTGAGCTGACAGGGATTACGCTCTGGGACTTTTGTTAGACTATTTGCACAAGGTTTGTGTAATAAACTGGTCCCAGGAGGGGTATTTGTTGAAGTCAAAGCCTGAAATGGAGTCCTTTGGGTTACTCAAGAGGAAACTGAGGCAAGGGGCCACTTGTGGGGGCCGGGAGGAGGCCACTCATTACCGTGCTCATCCATCCATCAGTATCTTGGCACAGGGACACAAGAGGGATCATCTCCAGTGCTCAGGAAGGACGCAGCTGGGACACTCCAGGGAGATGTGGCTGGCCAGCAGACACGCCGAGCACAATTTGACTGCCCAGATTTGGACCTCGGTCTGCTCTGACTATGAGGAGCATGACCGTATCGTTGGCAAATGTGCCATCACTGCCGTTTGTTGTGGCCACCCCGACTGAACTGCAAGGCCAGGATGTGGGTGACCCAGAGCCAGACAGAGCCACAGTGTCCCCAGACCACGTCCTTCCAGAGCTGGCGGATGAGCCTGAACCTCTGGAGACGACCCAACCCAGGGCTGATCCGAATGCCGGTAAGTATTGAAATGATGCATTGAACTACACTGGGGTAGGGATTATACCTGCCCAGGTACTGTACAGACACCATCATGTTGGTCTAACTGTTCTCTGCCTCATGGCTTTTACCCCCGCCCCTGGTGCTCAAAGGCCACGTCAGAGACTATCCAGGCTCTCCAGTCCTCCTCTTCATGGTCACATGGAAACAGAGCCAGCCCGTAACCTCGCTACGTCCTGCCCCACACACCCTGATCCTGCTCCACCTGGTCGGCTCCCCCACCCGCCAGAAAATGGTGCCATCGCATAGCTTAACATGGAAGAAGAGTGTTTTAGGTACAGGCACTTTTCTTGTAAATTACCTTCACCCCTCCCCTTAGTCTTAATTTTTCATTAAACCGGCATCATAAGGCCGAGGCGAGAAAGCCAGAGCTCGAAGGCCATTGGGCTAGCAAGAGGTCGACCATGTTTCTGGAGCACAGGGCCTGCTGCGAAGCTTGCACAGCAGTGTGGTTGGTCAATCTTTTTTTTTTTTTCAGCGTTAACAAAGTTCATCTTGATGTCTGACTCTGTACTAGACACATGAGTCGCATTCGTGGGTCTGGGTCCTGGGCCCTCCCTTCTATGGGGCAGCGTCACTGACCTACCATCCACGCAGACACAATAACAGCATCAAAACAAGCGCAGGTACATCAGTGTGGGAGGGGGTCGGAGCATGGTTGTGCTTGTGCGTGTAGGTGGGTGTGGAAGTGGGTGGGTGTGTATCTGTCTGTCTGCCAAGCAGTGTGGCCAGCGCTCCCAGATGGAGTGAGTGAGCTGATTTTGGCCCCTGCAGCAGGAGCTGTCACCTCACCCGTGCCCGTCTCCTGCCCAGCAGCTGCTCCTGTCCTCAGGGCCGGCTCCAGCATTTCTGCCGCCCCCAACAAAAAAAAAAAAAAAAAAAGCCGCGATCGGCGGCGGCAGTTCAGCGGCAGGTCCTTCGCTCCTGGAGGGAGTGAGGGACCTGCCGCCCTCGAATTGCCGCAGGTGCCGCCCCTCTCCCTTGGCCGCCCCAAGCACCTGCTTGTTAAGCTGGTGCCTGGAGCCGGCCCTGCCTGTCCTCCAGCCTCCAAATCAGTCCTACCCCTCCCGTTCCCCCATCAACTCTGCCCCCCCAGACCCATCTCTGCTCCTCGGGGGGCTCTTCACCCCTTCCCCAGGCTGGGGGGCTGCAGCGGAGCCCCTGGCCCTATTCCCAAGCCAGGGGTTGTG